TTTTATTTTTGCTTATGATGCAAAATAGAAAGAGCAGCAATACACTTTGCAAACTGATTTAAACTCCTCGTACAATAGCCTCGTGGTTTTGTCGCGGGTCAGCTTTAATCCTTTACAATAGAATAGAGAAATACAGAATCCCTAAAGAAAGCCCAACATGACATTATTGAAAATGTTGCAGACTCGGTTTGATTGAGCCTGTTCATGAACGGTATTGGAAAGTGCAAGTTACCGTCCACGCCCCCTAGCACTGGCTTAAGCAGAATTCAACATTTAAACACAGAAATGGTGAAATTTTGAATTTAGAAACATCCGCAGATGTGTTCATACGGCGGTTAGCATGGAACCTTCAATGTGACACAGTAGTGTCATTCCATGAAAAGCGGTGTATGGTCCCCAAGTAACACAAACGCATGTCGGTGTGGGCTTTCTTTAGGGATTCTGTATTTATCTATTTTATGATCACATCCGTGTTATTTGTGCCGTGTGGCGGCTGTAAAAAGTCTCCCCGTACATTTAATCAATGATGTTATATTTTCGATCCTTGAAGATCGTTCAGCACGACATTATTGTTGTGCTTTTGGTATTTTTAGTTTCACTTTTTCGGCATTTTCTAGTTGGGTGGTTCCAATATTCCTACTTGAATAATGTTGAATCACCTTTAGGATATGTTGCCTGATTTTTAAATTTGTCTTTTGACGTCTTATCTGTGATACGCAGGCTTCATAACCTCTGATCCCCTTTCAAAATTCCATTTTATTTAGTTCAGCCCATTGTTTTCTCGTTTAGGGCACACGCTTTTTATTACTTGGGGACCATACGCCGCTTTTCATGGAATGGCACGGAAGTGTCACATTGAAGGTTCCATGATAACCGCCGTATGAACACATCTGCGGATGTTTCTTAATTCAAAATTTTACTATTTCATGTTTAAATGTTGAATTCTGCTTAAGCCGGTGCTAGGGGGCGTGGACGGTAACTTGCACTTTCCAGTACCGTCCATGAACTGGCTCAATCAAACCGAGCCTGCAACATTTTCAATTTTGCCGTGTTGGGCTTTCTTTAGGGATTCTGTATTTATCTATTTTATCAATACTAACGAAATGTCACATTTCCACGATATGGAAATATATACAATATTTGTCAGTACTATGTAATAAATAAATACCTTATGATGCTCTTTCTATTACATAAACATTGATACTTTTAGATGTATTTGTATTTAATAAGTTTACCTAAGCTTGTCCAGCATTTACATTCCTCATGCCACGTGACTATATAAAATCGAAAAGTTAATCCGTCAATCTGTATTACAACTCTTTCTATTTGATTATTGATACAAGAATAAACATTGAATTGTATATATAAAAATTCGTTTCATAAGATATATATTTACCCTTTTTAATTGCATTTTAAATTAAATGTATGTCATTGACTGAACAAATACAGAGATAGAGAGGTCACCTCTTTTGTCTTTATATTTATAACACCCATGTGTTGTGGTATGTTACTCGTCATGTTAAGCATAAAAACGAATGGATTTAATTAAAATGTGCCATTTTCTGAAAAGCAGTGTTTGTTTTGTCTTTTTAGTAACCACATTGTTACTATACATTACTGCTTTACGACAAACAACCAATCCTTACCATGTAAAGGTAATTTCTAAGATTGTCTTTTTCAATATGGTACTTGTACATCATATATTTTGTATGTGTAGGCAGCATACAAACGTTCATCGACAGCATAACTGCAATATGATTTACCATTTGTTTTAAACTAAATATCCTATTGTATTGTATTTTTCGAGACAACCAAAAGAGCAAACAAGAACATGACATAAAAGACAGAGTTTGGTTGAGACTTTTTTGTGTCAATGAACGCATCCCCAACCCAGGACCATATTTAAACGGTTCTTATTTTAATTATCTTTGATATGATGCTTACAGTATTATCTGACTGTGATAGATTTGTTCATAAAAATCTGGAAAATGGAAATGTGATTTTTTTGTTTTTTATTCTGATTTTATTGAATCTACTTATGGTCAAGAACAGAAAATATGAATAATTAACTTTATTTGAAAAAATATTGTCATCTAGAACCACATTTTTATCAGAAAGACAATATCCGTAAAATAAATAATATCAGTAGACTTCCTTTATGTCAAAAGGTAAGTTTGATATATGTCTGTGTTTGCCATATAAGTTTTTGTTAATAATTGCAAAGGCATATTTCATGTTGATAGCCAATACATTTTGAAACCTTGATAATACCATGATGTTAATGATGACAGAAAACTGCAAAATCTTAATTGACGGCGAAATAAGAAAAATAATTTAAATGTACTTCCTCGTGGGTAGAGTTTCACTGTTTCTTTTGTTTCATAATTTGCGGATATATTTATTCAGGTCTTAAAGCTGTTGTTGTATACCATTTATTACAAAAATGACATAATTATTCTGTCAAAAATCATTTATTTGCAATTTCTGAACATTTGATGTGAGGATCTGTCAAAAAGGTTTTTTTTTACATCGGTGCTAATTGATAAGTAAAATACATATGAAAATAAATAAATATATCTAACCTGACTTCTGAGAAATATTTTTCACATTGAGAATTTTAGACATATAAAAAGAAAATATACAGCTGCGTTGATTATATGTTTACATCTGCGATCTTTTTATGTAACAATAATCAAGGAAATATTTTATTCAATTAACGAACGTCAAGGTCTTAGATATGTCTTACCATGGTCTGCCCAAGATAAAGTATAAAATATAGATGAGAGGTTTTTCGGTATAAGTAACAAATAAACACTTGAAAGAAAGGAAACGTAAATTAACAAAAGAATCGGCTGGTGGGAAAAATAATAGATTTTCTGTTGTAAAATCATTAAAGTAATTCTCATACATATGTTTTCTACTGTGTTTCTAAAAACACTAACTCAACGACATAAGAAGGGGTGTTGGGAAAATATTTTGTTTGACAAAATCAAACCAAATCTGCAATGTTCATGTAATGTTTTTGTTATAAATGCTTTCGAGTGATTAGCCTTTTCTACTTTTCCAGATTTTATTCTTGTTAAGATATAAAGTATATTGATGACTTTTATAAATTTGAAATACGCATATTGGATGTGTTATTTGATTTTAATATTTTTGGTCATCTCTGCATAAATAAACAAACAATAAAATTTTACAGAAAAAATATTTATAAAGTTTAAATTATCTGATTGCTATTAAGGTAAAAACAACTGGGAGAAACATTGTAAATGAAATATAAATATATATTTGTTTTTCGAATATTTTTTAAAAAAATAATATTGTATATTTATTCGTGTACTAAAATTATACTTACGAGTCTAGCTAAATATATAAGAGAATCAATTTAAATTCAGGATCACTGTTGTTAGAACTAACAATTGAATTTTGATTTTGTTACAAATTTATACTCAAAATTTATTTTATTCTTTGTGTCAACTTTGTTTATATTATAACCAAATTGTTTTACAAGTGACAGTTATATTTTCCTATACAATTGCTGTTCAATCTCCATTTTAACATGAAACCCAATGCTATTTGCATGTTTGTACGATTTAATGAAATAATGTAAATCAAGGTTAAGACGTCTTCATCTCTTTAAATATCAGAAAAACGAAAATCAGCATTTTTTTCCTTCATTTCAATTCCTAAATGCAGCTTAAATGTGGAAGTTTGCAAGCTGTTTATAAATTTATAGATATGTATTAACAGTTGACATATCGTGGATATAAACACGAGAACATTGAACTATCGGACATTTAATTATCATGAATATTATCTTTAATGATATATATTTTAATAAATCTTTTAAGTGGATGTATTGAAGAAATTTTATCAGGTTTATTTAAACTCTAAAAGCAAAGGAATAAAAAACGTAGGTACGAATTGTTGCACACATTCGAAGAATTTAAAATCATTTCGACAAATGTCAATTGAACACAAAGCAGTGCATTTTACTAACATTAGAAGTTGAATAATCAATGTTTCAACTCTGCTACTCATGGTTGTCACTCTCAATAAGAATAATGATAATATCAAATTTCTAAAGAATTTATTGCCTAGTCATACTTTGTTATTTGTCCGCAGAGATCATCCTAAATGCAGCTTACAAATAACAAGACTTCATCTGTGTTTGTTTAAACGTATCATGTTAGACAATGGAATGACGCACTAAGCTATTTGCATAGTGTTCAGACATAATTTGACATGATTAAGTCTGTAATTGTATCAGGTCTTTCATGAAGTGGCAGTCAATACAGTATTAGACAGTAGGTTGTTCTTTATTAGTCTAGAATAGTTTTGTTTCTATGGTTGAAGCAAACTAAATTGTTGTTTTATACTGCGTTTGTTTGATACTTTGGTTTATACTTTTACTTAATCTCACTTTAATATTTCTTCGTGTGATGATGTTGCCTGGAGCACAGAACATTTGAACAAAACTCATCAATATATTTTCAATTCAAAATACGAAACCATTGTTGAAAAATGTTACAGGCTCGGTTTGATTAATTTCAGTCATGGGTAAACGACCCTAGCTACATCATATCTCTAGCACCGTCATCCGCGATAAGCAGAATTCAGTATTTAAAATATAAAAATGGTAAATTTGCAAATTAAAATTTATAAACAGATGTAATTGAACAGCTTTGTAGATTTTATTAAATAAACTATTCAGACATAACTTTGCAAATCTATTCCAAAAAAACTATAAACAAAAATTAATAAGATGACTTCTCCAATATTCAAATACAAAGAAATATAAAATGTATATTTAACGCCATGACAAATAGATTAAAATTGCTACACTCTATTTCTATTACAGCGAATTTGTAGCATAACCTCTCGCACTTACCGTTATCTCTTATGAGACAATATATTCAATCACGTTCACGCAAGTGTTCTTGGTTATTGGTTATTGTTTACAGCGTACCGCTCCACGTACTACAAAAACCGTGCTTTAAATAGCCCCATGTTTATAAACTCGTGTTGAGTCCATCGGAAAAGTGGCGATACTATATAAAAGAGTCAAACCCTTTCGTTAACGTCTATCGTGAAATTGGCTTTATCGTGAGTTATTTCAGTTAAGACAGAAAATTTATTATTCTTTTAAATAAATTTTAAAATGACATATTTTCATGAATATTTACATTTGTGAATTAGACAAGGGTTGATATTGATGCAAACGTTGAAAAACAAGTTTAGAAAAGTTAACTAAACAACGTACGAGGCAGAAATTCTGTTGGAATAAGGTAACTTTTTGATAATATTTTAAATAGTTTAGCAATAAAAATTAAACTGAAAAGAGTGTTGTGATGAAATTGGAAATTAGTAAGAAAGGTTAAAAAGGAATCGGAAAAAAAGTTAGGTATTTTAGCAATAATTTTATTTAAAAAAAAAACTCTGACAGTGCAGTCTTGAATTTAATTAGAAGACAGTTTTTACAAAATTTTCAAAAAATATTTTTTCTGTGAATGACAATTGAATAAGACGTAAAATATTACATGGCATTTGAATTTTATGTCAGACACTAAGTTTAGAAATTTGCTAAAGATATTTCTCAGTTAATGTTCTGTATATAAAACAGCAACACATAGTACATTATAAAACGGTTAATTTGTTATCATTATTCCCATTTAACATACTGTCCTTTTCTGAATATAAAAGAATAATAAAACGTTGATGTCAAGAAAGAGATAAATTATAAGTTCTGAATACAATATTTTAACTTTATAATTAGGCAAGTCATTACTGTACTTTTAAAAATAGCTAAACAATTATAGCTTCACTTTAAAATTGGTCATACAATTTTTGATAACAGCATAACAATTAAATACCATTGAAATGATAGTTTAAATAAAAAGCGAAAATAGTTACAACTTGTTAAAAGTTTTGTATTTATCTACTATAGAAATGTATTATAAGCTCTTTGTCTTACTTGTTCAGGTTATGAATTGTTTCGAGTTGACTGCACTCTATATCAGTTTGATACACAAACAATTTATCGCACTAGTAAATATATTACTTGCATATCAATTTTGCTTAATAAAGCCATAATTGTCTTTCTAGAAATAAAATTTATGCCAAATAGAATTTTATATCATTTGTAGGATTTATCGCAATCAAATTTATAAAGTATTTGACAATTTTTGCACAATTAGTACACTTACTTTCAAATACTGAAATGAAGAAAACATATACAAACGGCTCATGGTATCAAAAGGAATTTAAAGTGTTTTGTCCGTAATAACAAAACAAAAGTTAAGTGTTATAGCTCCACGGTGCCTGCTGTTCAAAGCAGTATTGCTTCTTCTTGATATTTTAACTATGAGTTAACTATATGTTAACTAGGATATTTCCAAAGTGTCTAACTTTTCGAAGAAGTATATCAATGTACTTTATAATGAGAACGAGTAGCTCTATAGAGTGTTATAAGAAGGGTAAAAAAGGAGCATTCATATTTAAAGACTGATTTGCCTTAAACATCATTCAGAACTTCAAATGTCTTTCTTTTATTTTTCAAAATTATGTTAACTTTCCCAGGTTTAAATTAACGTTTATATTTACTATGTATTCCTCCTGAATTAATTCATATCTTGTTTTGTCTATATGAAAAAATAAAGTGATACTAAATTGTTTTTACATGATATCATGTACATATTGAAGCTCGACTCACACTGCCTGTAGCGATCACGAGGTGTAAACTTAGTAGTTCTGAAAAAAGGTAATAATTCTATCAAAGCATATCCGAGAAAAATATTTTATTCTGTTACGTTTTATTGTTAAAGATATGTTTGCGTCTTAATAAGATTTCTACCCTCCATTTGTCTTTTATTGAAATCCATTTCACTGTCATCGGGTTCTACCAAGTTCACTATGCTCTGTAATTGACAGAAATGGCAAAAATATTCTCATGTCAAGTATAAATATTTGTCATTTCAGATATTTGTATAGATGTAATTAGGTTAGCGTGTGGCGTTAAAAAGGGCTAATTGCATGATAAAATAATTTATTAACTTGGAATCAAATAGCCTTCGTTTTTCTTTGATTTTCTTTTATGCATCAAATATGAACAAATCATATATATTGTTAATGTACCTATGTTATTTCACAATACTTAAATTCTTATTCTACTAGAATTAAAACGTTTTCTTGCCGTTTCCAATTTTCATTTGAAGGCTGTGTCAAATTGAATTTAGAATTGTACTTAACAAAGTATTAAAACTTATATTTTCAAACAAAAGTATATAAATGGAGTTATTTTAAGGAAACATAAATATGTCTATCTCCTACAACTTATGTTCATCAAAATATATTTTTTTGATTGGCATAACATGTTTAAATAGTGTAATAATATTTCTAAAAATACAAATATGTAAATATTTAAAAAAAAACACAAGTAAAAACTCGCAATCAAATATATTTGCTGATATCAAACTAAATTTTAATATTCATTTAATAATCACTGATTAGTAGGTCGCCATTATACGTTTTTTTCATCCTTTATTAACACAATGCAGTAAGAACAACAGATAGGCGATATAAAAATCATTCTTATCTCTTAAATCACATTACTTAAATTAATTAAAGCATTTGATACTAGGCAGGAAATTTATTTACTTGATAAAATATTTCCAAATAAGGACACATTTAGTTGAAGTATTAAGTCACAAAATGTTAGCACTGACAAATCATTTAAACAATTCTACTTCAGAACTATAATAAAGGTTGAATGCACATTGTAAATTGAATGATAAAATTTCAACAGAAACTTTCAGGATAAAAGCATGTAATCACTTTCCGTAATTGTGCAACTGAAATGTAATTGTAGGCGTAATATGCTTGTTATACTACACTTTCTAAACAGGAAACCTTCAAAGTAGATGCATAACATAATTGAACATTTGTAACAGAAATGCTGTTACAAATTACTTTTAAACATGGCTTAATTTTTCCGCTAGGAACAGCGTGCATCATTTAATCACAAATTGTGATAATGACCTTAAATCCATTTACACGTCGGGTATACTAGGTTTAGGTCATTGCTTAAAAGATTAAGGTAATTGATATAACCTGTTTTATGATCTTGTCTATTTACGTATAGTTAAAAAAAGCGAAAAAAAAAACACCAAAGTTTACACTTTATTTAAACAATACGAAATTCAATGCAATAGACATTCATAAATCTAGCGTAGCAAAATATATATCATTAAATCAAAAATAATAAAGGTTATTTATCAGAATATAGTAGTCCTCTTTAGGCAAATCCTGGTTTAATGTTTTCATTTTCAATCAATTTATCATAGTTGTAACAAATGATTAGCGTAGCGAAATAAATATCATTTAACCAAAAAAATAGTAAAAAAATAACATAATATATAAGTCAGTTTTGATAAAATTCTTCGTTCAATGTTTTCTCTTTCACTTAATGTATTATACACATGTAGCTGTAACAAATGATTATTACAGATTTTACGTGCGCGCTACATCTTGTTCAGGGGACATAGCTTTGATTCTATGATGTTTAATTTTGACCCTTGTATATCTTTAATTACAATAAGAGAATAGTCATTCGATATAGTATTTTTCCGATAAATGAAAAATATTTACCAACGAACGAAATATAGCAATGGAATATGTGATTTGCTGACAATTATTTGTTTTGATACAAGTCTTCAACGAGATATGTGAATGTTAAAAAAACATTGGATTCATCTGATCTGTATTCAATTATAGGAATAAAGGATTTGTAATTATTGCCTGAATGACAAAATAAATAGTCATTTGTCTGTTTAATTAAATGTGTGTAACAAAATTATTGATTTTGTCTTCACAATTTACCTTGTTGTCATGTAGCCCGTTATGAAGACCTATTTGTAAACCTTGAAAATTGACGTTCATCAACACTGGTAATATATAGTTAAAGTATTAACAGAGTTGTCTCAATTAACTCACTTCAAATCAAACAAGCAATAATTGATCAAACGAAAATCATTGTTTTTGTAAGCAAATCAGTCTAAGCATTTATACTGAAGAAGAAAATTAGACAAGCTATTTTGCAAAATGTCAAAAAATGTAAACAATAAGATGAATTGTTGTAGAAAATGATTTCAGTAGTATTTTTTTTAAACTTTTTGTTGTTGTTGTTTTATAATTTTACTTAAAGAAAAGATCTACAGATAAACCATTGAACTACGATGTGAAACTTATTTCCCAAAAATAATTGTTTGCTATGACAAAACACTCATACATCGTCTTACTTATTAGATTTGATTCTATAAATTGGTTTTGTACAGTAAAGAGCACTTGTATGAAAGGACATCTCGTACATCGTTTGAATGTAAAAAGTCACATTACTTTGTATAGAGACCTTGGTTGACATTTGATACAATAATGGTAGTTTTACTTATTCCAAAAGATAAGAAACAGTAAAATATTAATGTTGCCGCACATTTCAATCTTATTGGTTTTTATGGAATTTGTCGTTACATTTTATTATCTGTAACCAACAAATGTTAATTTTCTGCTTTACATTTTGGAGAGCAAAGAGCAAAGAGAATAACTGCTTACGCGTTTTCTAAAACGGAAGATATGTAGATGTGCAACGTAACTAACGATACTTTTTTGTCATTGGAATTGTCATAAAAGGAAAATATTTTGAATCATCATGTTTGCATAAATACTTGCATTTTGTATTATATGATCCACTATTACTAGGGTTCATCCGCCAGTTAAGGCACAAATAACAATTTTCGCTGACTAGTATGGATACCTGACATGTCAATAGCCATGCCCTAAAAGTGTTAAATTTTGAAGTACAAAGTGGTGATAATTTACCTCCGTGCACCCTCCACAGAGTATAAGTGAATTTTGAGCTGAAAGAGGACAATTGTACAGCGGTCAATGACGGAAGGGTAGTTTGGTATCCATGACCTGCGGTATATGTATAAAACAGCGCTCGGATCTTGGAATGTGTCCTTGGTGAAAGATTCGGCCAAGCTCCAAATCGTCTACCGCTGCCCCTTGCATGTTCAAGGACGTGCATGTACCATTAGGAACAATATTACGGATGTGAGTTTACACACGGTCTCGAATCCGTTTCTTGAACCAAGCAGTACTAAGTAATGTGTGTAAAGTTTCTTGCTTAAGCAAAAGACATCGGCTTGCCTCTGACATATTTACTTTATATGTATAGATAATATAAATATCATGAAAATAATATTCAGTGTTATAAAAATGTCGATAATTGAAA